GAAATGATAACCTCACCGTTCTATTGCTCTACATAATGCATAATGTGTTGTATGAGCTGCTTGGACACGCACGTGGCAACGCCGCATGACAACGCTTGTTATGTTGTATGACTCGGGTTTTACACAATTTGTTCAATGGCAAGTCGAATGGCCACCAGCTGGAATCATGATTCGAAAACTGCCGAGCAACCACTACTGGGCGCTATGCTGCAATCGCTGTCGTCTCCATCCTCGTCGACTGTTGGTTTATCCCTTGGCTTGTCCTTCGGGTGTTCATCCTGATGGACTTTGAGAAGGCGAGCTCGCTCCTTCAACATGCGATCCTTCGTCCGGTTCCGTTTTTCAGCGAATGTCCACAACTCGAGCGCAATTGCTGCATGGTCTGCTTTGGTTACTTCTACGAGAAGGGGCCACTTCCCGCCGTCCTGCATTGTTATGTCTGATTTGTGTTTGGCTAGCTGTAGCTTAATCAACCCGAATGATACCGCATCCTTGGTCGGGCACTTCTTGGCAGCAGGTTTTGTTTCATCAAGACCTGTTTTTTCAAGGCACCTCGATCTGGAGGAATTGGGATCTCCGCTGCTGCTGCTGCCTCGATAGCTAGAACTCCACGGCTTGATGACGCAGCTGCTTTCGCCGATGCTTTCGGCGCGAGGCTCGCTGCACATTCTCCATCTGAAGTTTCATCTGAAGTCTCACCCACTAGACCCATAGCAATAGCGAAATCTTCACCACCAGAAATGTCCAATACTGGATGGCCCCAATGAACACTCTGACTCTTTAGAAGCGTGGCGATCCAAGACGCGCGACTTCTTCTCGGGAGGCCCTGGCCCACGTGACCCGAACGTTTATACTTCTCCGACAACAGCACGCCATTGTTCCCAAGTAGATTGTTTGAGCCTCAACGGTTTCGTCGCGGCCTTGACCTCCCTCCTGTAATGATACAAAATAGCAATGATCTTTTTGCCGTACAAAGGGGCGACAACCTTGTCAGCAAGCTTCATCGTGTTCGCTTTGGGGAAAGGTTCAAAGTATTTCACAATAGCTGAAGTTGCTTGCAGCGGCTTCACTCGCATCGACGGGGATAGCTTCGCCACAGGAAGGAGCAACAGGAGTAACTTGATAAGCGAACCCCAGTTTGTACCATCTGTCATCCCAACAGTCTCGTACGCACCAAAATCTATTGCATCATTGAATACATCGATCAAGCCTTGTGCAAATTTTGGCACTGAAACATCAGGGCGTGGCCCAGCACTGTCGCAAGGCCTGCGCATATGCGTTATGCACCCTGTCTTGAGAGCCGAAATGGCTGCAGAGCAGAGCCCGCTCGAGCGAGTCGAAAGCCAAGTCCTCAGAATATGGGGAATCGTGGGGGCGCTTGAAAAATCCGCCGCCTCTGGTCAATGGCCCCAGGCGTGTAAGTGCGGGCTTCAACCCTGGCAAATGAAGTTATTTCATCTTGCCAGATTTGCAGCCATTCGAAATTTGTCCGCGTACTTGGAACATGTTTCTTTGATATCATATGGCATGCTCATTTAAACGGGCGCATCCCTGTGATTGATGATAGATAAAAGCCAGCCATGTGTTTATATATATATAAGAACGCATCCCTGTGTTTTTGATATATAAGAGCGCCCCTTGTGTTTTTGATATATAGGAGCGTGTGGTTACCCTGGGCGCAATTTGTTCATAATTTATGATATATATCATGTCTTATGCTATGAACGCTCTTTCACTGTACACTATCATCATTCATGATATGTATCATGTTTTCGCTATGAAGATGCTCAGGCCCCCCCTCGCCCCGGCGCCCCCCACTCATGCAACCTCTGCTCTTGGGCCCCCCCGCGCCTCAAATTCTCGCCCAAAACCAGACGACGCCCCTGTCCTCGCCCCCCTCCTGGCCCCCCTCCCCGCCCCGGCACCCCCCGCCCATGCAACCTCTGCCCTCGGGCTCCCCCGCGCCGCAATTTCTTGCCCAGAACAAACCTACGCCCCTCTCCTCGCACCCCTCCCGCCCCCCCCCATCGCCCCGGCACCCCCCGCCCATGCAGCCTCTGTTCTTGGCCCCACCCACCCCGCAACCCACTCATGCAACCTCTGTTCTCGGGCCCCCCCGCCCGGCAATTTCTCGCCCAAAACCAACCGATGCCCCTCTCCTCGCTCCCTCCTGGCCCCCCTCGCCCCGGCGCCCCCGCTCATGCAACCTCTTCTTGCCCCCCCCCACCCAGCAATTTCTCGCCCGAAACCAACGGCACCGACGCCCCTCCCCCCGCCCCCCCCCCGGCCCCCCTCATCGCCCCGGCCGGGCGCCCTCCGCTCATGCAACCTCTGTTCCTGGGGCGCCCCACGGTGCAATTTCCCGCCCAAAACCAACCGACGCCCCTCTCCTCGCCCCCCCCCTTGCACCCCTCCTCGCCCCGCACCCCCCGCTCATGCAACCTCTTTTTTCTTGCCCCCCCCCTGCAATTTCTCGCCCAAAACCAAGCGACGCCCCCTCTCCTCGCCCCCCTCGCCCCGACATCCCCCGCCCTGCAGCCGCTGTTCTTGGGCGCCCGCGCCGCCAATTTCGCGCCCATGCCAACCGACGCCCCTCTCTCGCCCCCCTGGCCCCCTTCTCGCCCGGCACCCCCCACTCATGCAAAAGCTCCGTGATCGCCCCCCCCCCCCCCGCAATTTCTCGCCCCAAAACTAACCGATGCCCCTCTCCTCGCCCCCCCCTGGCCCCTTCTCGCCCCGGCATCTCCCACTCATGCAACCTCTGTTCTTGGGCCCCCCCGCCCCGCAATTTCTCGCCCAAAACCAACCGACGCCCTTCTCCGCGCCCCCCCTCCTGGCCCCCCTCCTCGCCGGGGCAGCCCCCGCTCATGCAACCTCTGTTCTTGGGGCCCCCCGCCCTGCAATTTCTCGCCCAAGACCAACCGGCGCCCCTCTCCTCGCCCCCCTCCTGGCCCCCCTCCTCGCCCCGGCACCCACCACTCGTGCAACCTCTGTTCTTGGGGCCCCCCACGCCGCAATTTCTCGCCCCCCCCTTCGCCCCGGCGCCCCCCGCCCGCGCAGCCTGTTCCCGGAGCCCCCCCCCGAAATTTCTCGCCCAACACCAGCCGGCGCCCCTCTCTTCATCGCCCCCTCCTGCCCCCCCTCTCGACCCAGCATCCCCCGCTCATGCAACCTCTGTTCTTGGGGCCCCACCACCCCGCAATTTCTCGCCCAAAACCAACGTCGCCCCTCTCCTCGCCCCCCCTGGCCGTCGCCCCGCACCCCCCACTCATGCAACTCTGTCTCGGGGCCCCCCCCGCCGCAAATTTCTCGCCCAAGACTCACCGATGCCCCTCTCCTCGCCCCTCCTGCCCCCCCCCCCCTCCTCGCCCCGCACCCCCCACTCATGCAAACCTCTGTTCTTGGGCCCCCCCCCCACCCGCAATTTTCGCCCAAAGCCAGCCGACGCCCCTCTCCTCGCACCGCCCCCCCCCCCCCCCCCGCCCCGGCACCCCCCGCTCATGCGACGTCTGTTCTTGAAGCCCCCGCACCGCAATTTCTCGCCCCAGACCAACCGACGACCCTCTCCTCGCACCCCTCCTGGCCCGCCTCCTCGCCCCGGCATCCCCCGCTCGTGCAACCAATGTTCTTGGGGCCCCCCACCCTGCAATTTCTCTCCCTAAACCAACCGATGCCCCTCTCCTGCCCCCCTCCTGGCCCCCCTCCTCGCCCCGGCATCCCCCGCTCATGCAACCTCTGTTCTTGGGCCCCCCCGCCGCAATTTCTCGCCCGAAACCAACCGATGCCCCTCTCCTCGCCCCCCTCCTGGCCCCCTCCTCGCCCCGGCACCCCCCGCTCATGCAACCTCTGTTCTTGGGCCCCCCGCCCCGCAATTTCTCGCCCAAAACCAACCGACGCCCCTCTCCTCGCCCCCCGCCGGCCCCCCCCCGCCCCGCACCCCCCGCTCGGCCCCCCGCCCCGCAATGTCTCGCCCAAGACCAACCGACGCCCCGAGATCTCCCCGCCCCCCTCCCGGCACCCCTCCTCGCCCCGACACCCCCCGCTCATGGCCTCTAATTCTTGGGGCCACCCACCCCGCAAGTTCTCGCCCAAAACCAACCGATGCCCCTCTGAAAAAGCCATCAGGGGAACGTGGGATGGCCTGTGGGATGCCTTCTCGAGGTATATTGGCTCTTGGGGGCCTCTTGAGTATCTCTTGGGGGCCTCTGGGGGCGCCTGCTGAACCTCTTGGGCCGTCCTGGGAGCAGCAGGGGGCGCATGGCGGCATCTTTTTTTTTTTTGTTCGAACAGGGCGAAACAGACCTCCCGAGGCCGAGGTGCAGAAGCTTAACTCTCGAGCACGCTGCCCTGCAATGAACTGCGCGCTTGCGCGCTGGCGGGCGGAGCGCGCGCGGCTCCGATTGAGAGGTGGCATCGCTAGGAGAACCTCTCCTTCACACTGTCGTGAATTCACATAAAATATAAACGAAAGCCCGTCGCGCCAGCAGGCGGAGCGCCTGCCGTCGCGCAAAGGAGTGTTGAACAGCCGAACGCGGGTTCGCGAAAGAGACGGGCACCAGCCTGCGACGGCCGACCAAGAGCCACCTGACCCCTCAGCCAAGTACAGCTCAAGTTGCTCTACTCGCCCAGCCATTGCTTTGAGGGGGAGAGGCCCCCTCTGGTCTCGGGGTAGAGCCAACGACAACTTCGTTCTTGCCTCCGCACGCGTGATAGACAGGCCGCGCCAACCCAACATTTTCTGCCCGAGGCTAGATGGGGCCCGAGTGGATGGGGCCGGAGGATGGCGACGCATCGGCGACGCATCGGCGAAGCGTCGGCGGACGCATCGGCGATGCATCGTCGGCGTGGAGAAAATCGGGCTCCGCATCGAGCCGCATCTCCGATGCGTCGGCGATGCAGCGCTATCCTCCGACCCCATCCGCTCGAACCCCATCCAGGAGGCATAGGGGCATTGAACGCGAAATGTTCGAGGACTCTCTCTGGCGGCTCTAGCCCCGCACCGCCGCCGCGATCGAGGAGCAGAGCGCAGCGGCGCCGAGCGCGGCCGGCGCGGCCGAGCCAACCACGTCATCGCCGGGCGCTGGGGCTGGGGCGGTTGCGTAGTAATAGTAGGTTGGGGCCGGGGTAGATGCGACGTCGACGCCCATCTCTTCCGCTGCGTCAGACAGGGCGGGATCGCACAGGCAGGGGGTCTCGAAGCGCGGGAAGCGAAAAATGATGGTGGTCTGGCTGCCCTGGGTACCGATGGAAGGGAACCCGGCCGGCAGCTGCTCCCACGAGCAGTCTCTCTGCGCCTGCGTCGACAGCTCGAGCGTCGCGTTGCTGCCCAAAGACACGGACTTCCCGCTGCCCTGGTTGGCGCTCCCCCCCCAAAAAAAATTCTGCGCCGTGATGTCGAGCTCGACGAACGCGCCGACCTGCTCGGTCTGGCCATCCTTGCAGTTGGAGCCGTCGCACCAGGTCCAGTCCCAGAGGCGGATATTCCACTTCAGCTCTCCGATGCTGACGTGCCACGACTCGTTGGACATCCCCACCGTTCCCGACTGTGCCATGACATAGGTGTCAACGCCGATCCGTCCAATCTCCGAGATGGTTGAGTCGAACGACACCTTGGCAGCAGAAACTCCAGAGCCCATGCGGACGGTCTCCATATCGCCCACCGTGAAGTCCTGGCTTGCAAAAGTTTTGATCGAATGCTTCACAACAACAGACGCACCCACTTCTTCGCCATCTACATCCACCTCAGCGCATCCATCGTCACGCGGATGCCCACAGAAGCCCCCGACGAGCCCTCCGGCACGAGAGTGAACTTGCCGCTCTGGCCCTGAACTTGGAGCTCCAAGGGGATGTCCAGCGCCGGCTCTTCAGTCGTCACTTCTTCGAAGAAGGGTTCTGTTGTCGTCGCATCGCACGATGGGAAGGCGGTGGCCTCCGCGAGGCCGAGGAGCAGGCAGGGCAAGAGGATCTTGGTGGTCATGGGGTTTGGACTCGCGGCGTTGGCCGCGGGGCCGCGCGCCTAGCGAAGACAGCTCGAACTTCGGGCTTGAGCCCTTGAGGATCTTGAGTCAGACAGGCTGTGGGGTGCAGCGGGAGCTCGACCAAAAGAAACCTTCCACGAGAAATCCAACCCTGAGACCCCAGGACGTCCTCTGATCTATGATGTGGGAACGCCACGCCCTCCATAGCAGGACCATCGAAGCCCAAGAAGCCCAAGGCACTCTGGAGGCAAGCAGGGCGTTTCTTGACATGGTTTCCCACTGTAGCGCGTCTTAAGTGCTTCGTTGGGTTAGGTTGGGCATGCCCCCCTACAGGCGGAATTTGGGCGGAAGAAAAAACAATCTAACAATGCTCAAAAATGGTCAAACCATACTCAAACAATTCGTCCCAGACTATTGTTTTGACTAATTTTGAATAATCCTCCTGTAGAGGGTCATGCCCGACTTACGTCTGAGGGTTTCCCTGGGCCGTCTTCGTTCGAGCCACCCAGGGGCCTGCGCGAGGAGAGCGCGCCCCCCTGGCTGGGAGCAGCTAGGGTGGCCCATGGATCGCTCGAAAGGGGGGGCAAAACGCCACTGGGCGCTGCAAAAAGGACCACGAGGAACGTTAGAAGTGCAACGATACCTCCACAGATGTTCCAAGAGGGCCCCAAGACGTTCCAGGATTGCCACTCGACGGACCAACAAGGCAATTGTTTCCTTGCGTCCGCCGATAATCCTGGTTATCGCTCCCCCCCAGCCTGACCCCGTCGTTAGCGCAAGTCCAAAAGGGGTGCGCAATATTAGCGCGCACAGGCATACGTGGCGCTGCCCAAAGCGAAAAACTTCCGTCATCGCCGCCCCCCCACCCCCCCCTTTTTCCCCCAGATGAACCGGGCAATCGCCGAAAAATGAAAGACGATCTCGAATCCCAAAGGGAACTTCAAAACGAACGCATTATTCGTTGTGTGTCATCCGACGCCGGACACTCTAGACTGAAACCAGAGCTTGCTAGAACCCAAGCGAAGCGCGCACGTGGTTCTAGCGTTCTAGTCTTTGGTCGGGCATGTCCCCCTACAGGCGGAGTTTGGACGAATATTAACAAATGCCCCAAAAATGCAAAACAATGGTTCGGAAATACACCAAAAATCGTCCCCTGACAATTTTTTGACTATTTGTGAACAGTCCTCCTGTAGAGGGACGTGCCCGACTTGAAATTCTAGTCTTGCATGTACCCCCCCGCCTCCCCGCTCGACAGGCCAGCGACCTGGAGCAATCATGGGGGGCAACGACAGGGGGGGGGGTAGCCGAGAGTCGGATCGGCCAGGAATCGAAGCTCCTAAGTTGGCCAAGCCTCTCAGGGGCAGCTGGCGAAAGGCCATGGAAGGCCTGGCCAAGCTTGGTGCTGGCATATCACTGACCCCTACCGCGAACTTCACGCGACGCCCCATGATTTTCGAACCAGCTGGCCTTGAAGGCGATGTGATATCACTTCTTTTTCTCGCAAAGGCAAGGCGAGGTACAGTAGCAGCAGTGGTCTGGCTGATGCGAGCCTACCCTCCGGCGAAGTGCAACACAGCATCTAAGGCGAGGACAAGGAAGTCCGCCCACCCCTTTGGGTGAATAATGTGAAATCGACGGGCAACCCGCCTCGTGCAATGCCCAGCTACCCTCGCCCATTTGACAAGTGGCCCCGATTGGCAGATTTGCCACTGGGAACAAGGAGGGTTCCAGTCTCCCGAGTGTCCACTGAAAAATAATACAAATTGACAGGACATATTTGAGCCTAGAAATGGGAAATCTCGGGCGAAATTGGTTGAACCACCTCAGGTCTGGGCATCCCCGAAAACACAATCCCGACGATGTCTCAGGCGAAAAGATCCGGACCACGTGAGGTGAGGACATAAGACGTACATAAACCCGGAATGGCAATGAGATCTCAAGCGAAACGAACAGTCCACGGCAACTGCGAGCCCAGAGCAGCGAGGAAACGGGATCTGATACCGTGCGGCAAGAGCATCGACTAATCCAGAATAACGAGGATGCACCGGACGAAGATTGCTCTGCGAGGATGTTTCAAGCCGAAAAAGCTGGACCGCCTCATGACAGCGGCGAACCAGCCGAAGCGAAATGGGCTGGACTATCTCTCGCGCGACAACTCGAAGCCCATAACTGCAGGGATGTCTCGAGACCGGCCGGACCGCCTCACAGGCGGCATCTCAGGGCCCAAATTACCGATGATGGCTTCGCCGAAACCGACCCAGACAACTTCTAGCATATGGTCTCCTAACTCAAACACCCACCCGTTTTCTGGGCAGGAGATGGTCAATCGCGGTTCCTTGTCCAACCCCGTTTTTCCCCTTCGGGGATGGGGTCGTTGCTGCTCCTGGATGATATTTGCCACCTCGCCCAATCTACCGACTGCTAACCCGCGTCACTACCACCCCCCTCGATTCAAACCAACAACAAATTGAAATACCCCCAGGCGGCTCCTCCATTGGAGCTCGGAAATGCGATGCGATCTGTCGGAACGATGATCATCGGATTATCATGGTTATGTAGATCCACCACCATGCCTCTGGGCACGGAGTGGGCGTGCCCTCAGGTCCTTGCCATCATCCTCTCAACCTCAATCATCACGCCTGAGGAGTCGTTCAGAGCCCCAGACCCCACATCGCGACATCTTCTCCTGGGGCTTCTCGCGGTTTCTCTCGTGACCGTTTCGGAGCGATGGGTGCCCCAAAACGGACCCAACAGGGCCCAAAGAGTCCCACGACGGCCCAGAACGCCCCGAGACGCCCAAAGATCGCTGCAAGACCCCCTAAATGGCCTCAAGATGGCCCAAGAGGCCTCCAAGATGCCCCAAGAGGCCTCGAAGATGCCTCCCAAGAGGACCCTGAGGCAAAAATCATTGATTTGCATTCGTTGTTTCAAAGATGTTGGCGTTCTCGCCGCGTTTCCTTCCCGACGCTCTCAGACGGCCCTCGAGGCTCCCAATACCACCCCAGGACAAGACGGCCCAAGAGGATCCCAAGACGGCCCCAATAGTGGCCCGAGAGAGGGAACACGAACCGAAAATCCAAGCGTTCCGCCCCAAGAGGCCCCCAGGAGGCACCAAGAGGCACTCAAGAGGCTCCAAGAGGCTCCAAGAGGCGCCAAAGGGACCCAACAGCGACCCCAACAGGCTCCAAAACTGCCCCCAAGAGGCCTCAAAACTGCATCCAAGAGGCTCCCTAAAGGTCACCCTCGAAATCCCACCGAACATCCAATAGGCTTGACACCCACAACCCAGGCTCAGTGGCGGGATGGGCCGAAGGCCATTCGATAGAGGGGAGTCCGAGGTGCAACAGAGAATCAAGAGTCCAGGGGGCGCGGCTCAAGCCTGGATGTCTCACCTGAACCCTTCCTACCTTGTTCGGAAAGGCAGCCCGACAACAAACGAATCAAACATACGTCGCTCAATTGGGGTCGGCGGCAGAGGCGGCAGCCTTTCGATAGCACATAGTTTGGGCCCACGGGCGCAAGGAACCTGCATACAAACAACTGGTCTGAGCTCACAGACGAAACAAAAACCATATGCCAATATTATGGTTTCGGCCCACGGGCGAAAGGAACCAGTGTGAAAACAAGCGTTTCGCTCGAAATATCCTCAACACATCCTCATGTTAGACCTCCGCCTGGTCGACCTGGACACCCGACAAAAAAAACGCGTCGCCCGAGACGTCATCAACAAATCATCGCGTCAGACATCGGTCTGTGCGACCCGAGGCGTTTCTTCAAGACTGGCGTTTCGCATTAGACGTCCTCGAATATTCTGCGCGCAACACGCGCCGTGCTCGTGCGGGCACGCACCGAAACCAGCTCCTTCAGAATTTCAGATTCGACCTCCTGCAAATTTCAACGCACCCCTCACGAGGATTCAGCGTAACACGACCCGCAAAACGAAGCGGGATCTGTGGACGCCGATAATCCGGCATGAGCTGCGTGCTTTCTTCGCACCCGGACTCACAGAACACATTTCTCCAAATGAACATGGGACTGCACCATGTGTTTCGTCGGGCGGACATCAGCTGGCCTTTTTCGAACATGTGGGCGGGGTCAATTGAACATGACTGAAAAAGAACCATGGGCCTGTGCCCTTTCCGGGAATACGAAAAGCAGCGTTTGAACTCCTGTGTAAAACATGACCGACCCACGAACTGCGATGCCTGGGGACGCCTTCGAGCACCTCAATTGGGCGATCGGCAGTGGCAATGTTCAAGGCTGTGTTGTGCTTCTCTGCGCTGTGCCGCGCCGCACAGTGACGTGCCAGGGAACGCGCCACGGAACGTGCCAGTGGATGTGCCTGGTGACGTGCCAGCGTCATGTGCCAGGGGGACACGCCACGGGACGCGGCACAGCAAGTGCCAGGGGCACGCGCCACGGAACCTGCCAGCGGACGTGCCAGGGGACGCACCAGGGAACGTGCCAGGGGACGCGCCGCGCGACGTACCCAGGGGAGGCGCGAGGGAACGTGCCAGAGAGTGTTACGCTGCGTCCGGCTTCAGGGCTAAGATCTCTCGTAAATTACGCTGGGTTCGCGCTCCCAAGCTGCGTTACTTGGTCAATCACGCGGAAATCATGGTCCCAGGGCCACGGTCCTTTGCTAATGAAGCTAGACTCGCGCTCCCAAGGACAAGATCATCGTCAATCGCGCGGGATTCACGTCCCCAGGGCTAATTAAGATCTCTTGTAAATTATGCTGCGTCCGCGCTCCCAAGGCCGCAATCTCTCGTGACTTGCGCTGCATCTGCGCTCCCAGGGGGACAATCCTTAGCAAGTTACACTGCGTCCGCGCTCCCAGGGCCACGAAGCCTTCTGCGGAGGTTGCCCAAAACACTCACGTCCCCAGAGCAGAAGAAGCAAACTATTCATAGATTGGGATACGTGTTCGGGGAACGCGTTTCGCCCCCCC